TCCATCTGGTGAAGGTCCATCTGGTGAAGGTCCATCTGGTGAAGGGAGTGTAGATGGAGGGGACAAGAGCGATTAGTGCACGTCCGCCCGATAGAATGGGGGAGTGAGATTTTTGTAAAATAACTATTTGAAGGGACGAGAATTTAGAATGGAGCATATTATTGTTGCAATGATTTTGCGTAGAGAATTTTGTCCACGGTCTACGGTTTAATTTTTAAAGATGGTTAGTGATAGTTCAACAATTTTCGAAGTCTAGTTTATCATGAAGGCGATTTTTCTACTATTTCGATATTTCATTTTCATTTTGTTTGCATCTCATGTCTTGTGTAGGGAGTGCGACAGGAGTCATGGACCATCGGCATGATTATGCATGTCCCATTCACCCTTGTTCATGCGGATTCCATGGTTCGGGAGGCGATACCGAAAACGACCCGTGGATGACCGTCGTCCCCTTCTTTGACAAGCCTATCGATGCGTGGTATGAGGCAGAATGGGATAGAGCCTTCTTGGCAAGGAAATGTTCATGGCATAAGGACTACAAATTTGCTTCCGCGATGGAGTGGGGAAGTCTGATCAAAGTACCTCATTATGCCATTGGTGTCAGGCAACTTCCGTCCCTGCGCACTGCGTTCAGGCAGGAAGAGAATAACAGGTTTTACCTTCGCTTGGACAACGTAACGAGGTCACCTCGGGTGTGGTCTGCAGACTTGAAACAAGAGTTGTTGGACTGTGCATCCTACAATCCGTTTTTGGAAGTATATCCACTGCGTGGTGCCGGGTTACAGCCAAAAGATGTGTCATATTGTTGCATACGGTTGTCTGTGGCCGGTTCCGACTTCTGCAGAGTGTTGTGTGTGGCATGTTCAAACCGAAAGCGGACTTTGGTAGACGCTGTAGTGCTAATTTCTTGCAACCACCTGAGAGTCTATGGTCGCAGCATGGGGAATTTGCGGCTTCTGTACGAGAACGGACAATCCGATTTGGAGATTGCCATTCGAATTCATGAGGTTCATAAGTGGCATGAGGTAGAGCAAGTGACATGTTGTGTGCGTGACGCCATCAGTAAGTACTTGGCGGGTGCCTGTAGGTTTGTAAGGATGAAGTACATTTCGGTGTTCTCGGGGGTGGCGACGAAGGGACAGCCACAAACCCTTGTTTTCGGGTCGACTATAAATGCCTTATACGAGTTTGGTTCTAAAGGGACGCGGGGACATCGGTAGGAACTTCAAATTTTGTAAATGATAGCGTTTTAGAAAGTTTACATTGTTGCGGCTCGTAGCGTTTAATTTAGACGTAGTTCAATGTACAGTTGCCTTGTAGCGTTTAATGTAGACGTACTTCAATCTTGCATTTGCGATTTCTTGCACATGTCGGTACAATTTTGAACTTTAATTACCAGTACAATTTTTGACTTTTAATTTTCTATGGGTATGACATTTCTTGAAGTGAGACAGAATCCATGGTACTCACATGAATTTCAGTTTCATATGACAATGTCGTATCGGTTTATGATTTTTTGTCAAAGTGCGCTGAAATCCATACATGAACCATCTTAGACTGGTTTCGCCTTCACACCATGTCATGTGTRGTACGTCTGATTCAAGTGCATTTCAATGTATGACAATGACATGTCAGTTTCGTCTTTAAAGTCACATAAATTGTCGAAGTGTGATAGAGTCAAAAATTATCGAAGTGTCACASTGTTGGAATCCATCCTTAAATCACACCGAACAGACTGAGTGTCACGTCTTTTAATAAGTATGTAGTACATAAATTATCGAAGTGCGATGGAACCCATAGTCATTGTACTTAAACCGTAATCTCGTTTGTCATGTCATTCGTTTGTCGTGTGATTCGTTAAACTTTGTCGTGATTAGTATACATTTAATAGAGTTAAAGCAAAAATTATCGAGGAGCGACGGAATCCATACTAGACTATTAGTACTTAAACCATCCGTGTGCTTGCCGTAAATGTCCCACTTCGATTGAGTTTCAATAAATTAAGGGAAGTGACAATGTCATCTAAAAGAGGTCCGACTCAATGCTGACTTAAAATTGAGCAAGGTGTAAAGAAATGGAGAGTTCAACAATTCAT